ACTTGCTAAAGATGGCAGAACAGAAGATAAAGCTTGGTTTTTTGATGGCATTGTGGAATCACCATATAAGAGTTGAACCTCTGTATTAGAGTTCTCTAGGAAAACAGAATAGATGAGAGAGAGATTTATCGTAAGGAATTTGTTCATGTAATTACGGAGGCTGAAAAGTTCCATGATAAGCTGTCTGCAAGCTGAAGACCCAGGAAAGCTGGTGGTGTATCTCTAGTCCGAACCTGAAGGCCTGAGAGCCAGCAGAGCTGATGGTGTAACTCCAGTGTGAAGGCAGGAGACTGATGTCTGGCTCAAGCAGTCAGGTGTCACCCACCTTTTTGTTCTATTCAGGCCTCTAATGGATAGAATGATGCCCACACTGCAGAGGGCAATCTCTTTTACTCAGTTTACCAATTCAAATGTTACTGTCATCCAAAAACACCCTCTTAGACACACTCAGAATAATGTTTAACCAGATATCTGGGTACCCCTTGTCCCAGTCAAGTTGACACTCAAAATTAACCATCACAAGTGCCTTCCTCTGGGCCTCATGTTACATGAGAACAATATTTGGTAAGTGCCCACAGTTGGGTTTCCATTACATTTTGTTTAATTCAGTCCCTAAGCAATATATATATATGCATTACTCAAATTTCTTGGCCTTGAAAATCATTGAGACTTGTGGCAAGTGTGTCATGGTGCTCTGAGGTTGTGTCTGTCTCAGCTGGAATAGACTCTAACTTGGCCACATCCTCCTAATATATAAACAGGCATAGCAGCATTCACCGGAACTGGTTCTGTGAGTATCGGTACAACATGATTTCAGGTACAGAAAAGCCACAAATCAGACCAATGGTAAAGGCAGTTCAAGGACAACCAGGTGTTGGAGCAGATGCCAAAAGGAGTTCTGTCATCAAGATTCTTGGTCACCCAATTTATTGGACAGAAGCATCTAGCTCTTGTGCCTCTTGTGTTCTTTCCAAATCTCCATTACAGTAAGAAATGACTTTAAGAGGAATAAATTCTCTTTCTTCTGAATATTTGTTATGAATGTGAAAGATATTTGAGAAAATACATAATGGTGATTTCATCATTTTGGGAAAAGTAGCTTGATAAGCTTTGACTTATTATTACTGCAGTTCCTTCCTAAGCAACTCATGTTACAGTAACATGGGCCAAAGTACATGTGGTTTTTGTCCTTTTTTTAAATCTGAAAATTTGTTCAATAGCAGTAAATTTAAGAGGCCTTAAATGTGATTTTAGAGCTTTTTAGTTCATCCTTTGACCAGGAACTTCTAGCGTGTTGGCCAACCACAAGTGAGAGAGGCCAAGGGCCAGATTTCTGGTCAGGAAGGGCGCTAGTGGTGATGCTGCTGTCTCTCAGTTCCAAATACACCTTCCACACACTGCTTCGTCATGAGATTGCAAACCCCTCTCTCCTGTGCTGGCTGGCTGGCTTTGTGTAGCCTTCACCAATAGCGGACACACACAGACTGGGACCTGCGGGAGGGAAGAAGGCATCTGCTCCTTTCTGTTTGCTTCCTGTTCTTCACGATGATGGCGCTGCAGCGGTTCTCCAGCTGAGCTGTGGCAGGTAATTCCTGAAGGAACCAGCTTTGTCTTGCCACTCAGAGATCACAGCACCATTGAGCCGGCGCCCCCTCTTCACATGTTTCAATCCCAGGTCTGCGGGGGCCTGCCAAGTTTCTGAGGCACTGGTACCAGCTGGACAGTGTCTGCTCCTGAAAGGTTTGACTCCCAGCTCCTGAGGTGCCTCCTTCAAGCTTCTAAATTCTAATAGTCCCAGGCTTTTGCTGTTGGTTCCCAGCCCTACACATGGCAGCTGCCTCCTGCAGTTAGCATCTCTGTGACACCTGAGTGTCCCCTTTGTGTCTTTCCATGTCTTCACTATCTGGTTGACAGTTGTTTGTATTAAATCTGCTCTGTTAAAATAATTGGTGTGGTCTTGGCCCCTCATGAAACAGGTAACCAGGTTTTCAGCTCCTGGAAAAGGAGCATGAGACCCAGGTCCTCTTCCAAGCAATCCCCATCTCAGGTGGATTTTCCATGAGCACTCGGCAACACAACAGGGGCCTTCCCCTGGATCGAGCCACATCCTGTGACAAGACTGAAGCCAGGATCATCCCAACATCTGTCTCCTCCCGTGCTCTGGCTAGGAGGTGCTGCCAGGGCGAAAATTCACAATCTGTGAGTATCCTGTGTCACCTGGACCCTTGCTGCTGTCACGCTCCTGATGCTTTGTGCCTCTGCTCTATCCTGGCCCCACCCTGCCACCTCTCCCATCTCATTGGGAGGGTGTCCTCACCTACTTTCCTCATCCCATGTCAAATACGAAGGCAATCTTTAGGTCTGCTTCTACCTCCAGACTTACCACCATCCTTTTTTTCTTTTTACCCAACTTAGAGGAAAAGGTGTTCCTCCTCCTGTCATAGGTTAAATCTTCCACTGTCCCTGTTTTCTTATCACCTAATATGTCATAGAAATTTTTATTTTCCTCCTCTAACTCTCAATGTAATATAAATCTCCTAAGGGCAGGGAGTTTGCATCTGTTTGCTGCAGATGTGAGGTGTGAGAGAACACAATCATGCATGATTCCAGATGTTCCTGGACACTGGAAGGCTGCAGTTGCCTGGAACTGAGCTGAGAAAGCCATCAGTGGGGCAGGTTTGGAGGGGACAGTCAGGAGTTCTGTTCTGGATGTGTTAGCACCTTAGACGTCCATGTGGGAATGTTGTGTAGGCAGTAGGATGTCCACATTTCAGAGAGGAGGTCCAGGATGTGGGGGTAAATACAGATGTCATCGGCATACAGTTGGCTTATAAAAAACCCATGAGACTCGATGGGAGCTACAGAGAGTGATTGTCAGTAATCAAGAAGGGGGAGTCCAAAGACTGAGCCCTGGGATGCTCCAGCACTAAGAAGTCAGGCAAGAAAAATAATCAAGGTAATTGAAAAACAGATCCCTGGACTGTGGTAGGAGGAAAGTTCCTTCCTTAGGTGGCCTGGAATCCAAGAGAAGACAGTGCTCCAGTGAAGCCAGGGGGATTGACTGTGTCCAGTGTTGCTGGTGAGTAACATCAAATAACAGAGAATTAACCGTTGGCTTTGGCATTGCAGAGTCACCCTTGAGAGTGGGTTTGGTAGAGTGGAGGGGATGAAAGCATGATTGGAGTGGGTTTGAGAGAATTCAGATGGATAAAGGAAAAATAAAAGGAAACTACTAGCTTGTAGGGATCAAAATTCATGAAAAGTGGGTTTCTGACAGAAAAAAATCTTGGTGCCATTATAAACCTGTGGACGCTAGCAATTACTCTCCACTCTGCTTATTCTCCTGAGTGCAGTGCAGGCCCTTTGGCTCTTGCCTGCATGGATACTGGCTCTGCTGGGTGCATGGCTCTGTGCAAGCCATAGAGGTTCTACCTGCAGCTCTTCCACCTTTTTCCTGCCATCTCTGACCACGCGGCACCTTGAACGAGGTGTTGGTGAGAGATGCCCTGTGTACACACTTGCTGATCTGTCCATGGGAATCACTGTAATCTCTTCTGTTTGTTGCTGGTGACCTCCTTTCCCCATGTGTTTGTGGTTGTGTGCCTGCTGGTCTCCAGGAGGACCTGGACTCTGCACCAAGCATGCAGCAAATGACTGACGGAGGCGCACTGCCTCCTTGCTAGCCCTGCGGTTCTTTCGTGCCCCCTTTTTAGAGAGAGCTTTACATAGAGCATTTCGAGCTGGTATTCTGGGAAAAAGGAAGGAGCTGCTTATTTTCTAATACTTTCTACTGGGATTGGTGTGTTTACTTTGTGTTCTCTAATAATCAAAATAGTAACTGTTAGGCATTAGCTAGTTCGCACTATGCAAGTGGGGGGGAGAGAGGTGTGAAAGGGAGGAGTGGGAAAGAAATGGGAATAGTCTCATCTTCCCGTGTGCCAGTTGTCTTCATGTGATAGACCTTAATGAAGAGATAATAGATTAATTTCCTGAGCTGTATATATTTACATGTAAAAGATTTATTGAAGGTCCTTTTCTGTTTTTTTTAAGAGCAGATTATCTTGAGATGCCCTGGTTGCTTCCCCAAAGAAAGGAGGCTTCAGGCTCTCCCGTGGGCAGTTTTCAGGGCTTAGGAAGCACAGGACGCTGTCTTGATGGGTTTACTGCCAGACATAGTTTGGGTTCTCACTGGATCCTTTTCCTTTTTGGCAGGGTCAGCTGGCTCAAGCGGCCAAAGCTTTAGCAAGGTTTCCCATCCAGGGAGGACTTTCCATCCAGGTATGTTTTTGGAGGCCAGACTTCCAGTTCCTGGCTAGTGAAGAGATCCCTGTTGGGTTAGGGGGACAGGGATTGGATTGTAGCAGAGTCTCGGCCAGTCACTGGTCTACCCACAAATGGGGGACTTTTGTACCTGCAGGGCCAGTAGGCACTTGCTTTGGTGTTATGATTCAGAGGGTGGGCACAGAGGGTGAACAGTGGTGGTCATAGTGAGCCCAGGCGTCCAGTGTGATTGACTCTTTGCATCCTACCCAGAACCAGAGACAACATGGAGACAGAGGCTGAGGATAGTCCCTCAAAGCCCAGATTCTCTAGGTGTTCCTTCTACTGAGGACTATCCCATGGGGACAGTACACATGGCTGGCACATACCGTACATGAGCAATTGTTTGTAATGAGCCGTGATACAAAGACTGAAATAGTATCCTGACAAAGACTGACCTCTAATCTCAAGTCCTTTTTTGTAGTAGGACAAATACATAATTTAGACTATACTATTTTGTATAAACAAAAGGAAACTAGAATAAGAGGGAATTGCCTCTACCAAACAAACCAAGCTTGCCTGTATCCTCTAGCAAGCCAGTACGAATGCCATCCACAGACTGACAGTAAAAAAGGAGCCCAGTGAGCATGCAGGCACCTGAATTACAGATTCCCAGAGCATGCTTAAGCATTTACCACTTAGATCCAAACACACACAGTTCCCAAGAAGCAGCTGGGATCTTTTCATTTTGAAAATGCTTTAATAAGTGTTGACAACACTGTTTTGCAAAATGTAAAGGTACTATACAAATTCTTAATACAAAAAGAATAAATTAAAAGCAGATTTCTTTTTAATTCTGCAACTTTGTCTACAACATACATCTTTTTTTTTTCATTGATTACAGTTGAACAGAATCCAGTAAAATCATTTTACATGCTCTACAGTCAGTTTCAGGAGCAACCTAATCTTTTTTCCCCCATTATTAAACTAGAGTCCATTTTACACAACTTGTAATAAACTATTGACATTAATGTATATGTAAAACTTTACACCTAGTTAACTAAGCAGTAACTGGTCATCTGATAGCACCTGGATGGGGTTTGCTATATTTAGAACTAAACTAATACTGAATGAAAAGAAGTTGGAATTTTAACAGTTTCAACACTCACCTGCATATGATAAAATTTAACAAAATCAACCTGGCTCACAACATAGTCTGATGTGTGTGTTTTCACCAGTCTTCTGGCTTAAACAGGCAATTTCTTATACGTATCCGAAGAATCCAATAGGGACTTTATATCAGACCAGGGACTTCATGTTTCATCTTATTTTCTTTTAAAGAAACAGGGATATATAAAGAGTTTGCAAGTGCTTGTATACAGTAACTACATCGTTTCCCACGACACTGATCATTCATCATGTCAGTCTCAAAGGACTAACACTTTAATGTACATTTTGTAATAACTGAACGCAGCTAAACAGTAAAACCTGTTTTACTTAATCTGTCTTTACCACCAGACTATCATGATGTTTGCTAGAACTGTAATTTCTGCTCCCACCCCATTCTTCTTTGCCCCCTGAATCTAAAACACAACCCAAGTTTTTAGAAATTTTGCCTCTCATTCCTTGTAACTCACTCTCATTCCTTGTAACTCAACTGGGCTAAAAGCTTCATCCGATTAAAAACTTGGCTTCAAACTACTATCCCTGTTGTATCATCTGTAACCGTGTAACCTCATCACTGTCTCTGGCTCCCTTGTGACTTTTCCTGCTGCACATAGTTCAGTCTGATTATTCCATGTATCTTCTTTTGGGAGAAAGGAAAATTGCCCAATCAATGTATAATGTTTCCAAATCGGGAAGGGGGAAAAACAAACAAAAACTTGTAGCTCTGACCATCAAAATAGGAGCAATAAAAATATCCCCCAGTCAATCCCTGGAGTCATTTAGTAAGTTCATAATCGGTTTCTATGTATCCTGCAGGTTTACCCCTAAAGTGTTCTGGGAATCTTAATCCCTTCTACAAGCTGGAATCACCAACCCAGCTGCGCTCGGAGCTGGGGGAAGCAGGCCCTGAGTCGTTCACAGAGACTAGTGGAGGCCATGGCCACCTGGTGCCTGCCAGGTGTGCATGTTCCAGCTCAGCTCCCAGCGCTTTCCGGGCTGCAGCAGAGGGAACCCCGTGAGTAATTATTTTGTTTTAGTATCCAGTCTTACCCTCCTGGTCTGGTAGAGTCTATTGTTATTCTTGGATTACACATACATGAAAAATGAAGATTTTTGTTTTTTACGCTAAAGCTAACTTCAATTCTGCTTTCCCACAAAGCTACCCCACCCTGGCTCCTGTCCCTGGCTGTCAAATGCCTTTCCGATAGGAAGTCATCACAAGTGAGAAAAAATACCCCCCTGTCCCCCACTTGCGCCAACAAGCACAGCATACCACCTCTGTGGAGACCTTTTTGTGCCATCTTGAATAACCCAACTAAGATTGTGCACTTGTTATTATAAAAGTATTTTTTGAGGCCTTTGAAGATTGATGGCTTTCCAGTTGTGTGTTAAGCATAGCTCAAAACACATGTAAACATGCAGCTCCCACACATGTTATTTTTCTTCCTTCCTCTTTTGGTATCTGCACACAAATGTGCATCAAAGTAACTGCTAATGTCGTGGGTACATGGGCCCTTGGGGAGCTGTTTTCTTTTTTTTTTTTTTTTTTTTTTCAACCCTGCTCTGCCTGCTGGCTAGTAGACACATGAGTCAAATCTTTCTACCTAAGGGCATAGTTGGGTTCTTGGAATAAGTGACACATAGAAGTCGGATCTGAGCTCTTTGTCACACAAATGTTAACAAACATAAAATGAGCCATGACACTGAAAACACTTGAATGGATCGCAATGTGCTTTTTCCCTTGGTTTCCCATAAAAAAGAAAATGAAACACCTTGTGCAAAAAAATAGGATACACTTTTACTGGTTGTTTTAATGAGAGAGAACCACTTTTGGCAATTATCACCTTATGTTTACTACAAATCCTGAAAGGAAAGCAGCGTTGAGGCTTGGGCTTGGGCTGAACCACCTGCGTAGACCAGGGCTAATAGTACACTCTGCTACTCCCCGCGGGTCTCTGTTCCTTCGTGTCCAGACTGATGGAGGGTCTGCGTCAGCAGTGCCAGCCAAGACTCCCTTGTCTTTACCATCACACTGGGTTAGTTTTTCAGGCTTTCTACAGAGAGAGAAGTGGACCATTAAGGGAGAGAGAGGACACCAATTTACAGATGGTTGACTTTCACTTGTGTGTACTAACAGTTTAGACTTTAAAAGAAATTTCCTTGCAGAAAGAATGTCTTCCTCTTGGCCCCTCTTGTTTGTGTTTTTATTATTTTCTTATTTGTTTAATCTTTGGCAGCATAGAACTGATTGTGATCCTCTGATGCATGTCTGCAGTGTTGAGCTTCCTTTTCATCCCCCTCTTCCCCAGAGCCACTCCCCTGCAAGCTGTCCCATTAAGGAATATTTCAGGTATGAGCTGAATATCCCTACGAGGCGTCCTCTCCATGAAGTGCTTGGTTGGCCTATGGGTGGCAGGCTGGACACAGCTTAATGGTCCTTCTGGATCACCCTGTACTCAGCCCCCTTCCTGTTCTCCACCAATGCTACTTGTCCGCAGGAATTCGATGCCAGCTGGCCTGACGGTTCCTGGCCTGGGGGCTGTCATGGCAGGGGGAAGCCACCAAGGTGCCATTGAGGATTGGTGTCTGGCCCTCTGTGGGCAAGAGAGCCAGGGGACACACAGTGGGACCGGAACCTTCCAGAATGTCTCCTTAGTCAGGTTTTCGAGGGTGAGGGGATGCGGAGACAGGAGAAAAAAAAGTGCTGAGGGCCGAAGCTGGTGCAGGGTGACAGTGCGTCTGGGTAAGGCAAATGAGAGGCAGTGAGGTGATCTCAGAATGGCGTTGAGGCGGTCAGATCAGGCCGGGCTGGCTCACACGAGGGTCCCGGGCTTGGCTTTTTCCTGCCCGTACCACTGGACGTCAGCTAGTTCTGGATAGAGGGAGGAATCCAGGAAACAGCTGTCACTGTAGCTCCTGTGGGGAACCCAAGAGAGGAGATGTGACAGTCAGGGGAGAAGGGAAGGCACATGCGGGCCTGTTCAGAAGTGCACGTCCACTTAACAGCGCTTGTATATCGATGGCTCGCATGGACCAACAGAGTCCCCATCAAGCAGTGTCCTGAACCTCTAATATAACTGCAAAGAGGAAAATGCAAACTCACACTTAATGCAGCAGTTCTGTGGTTCTCAAGCTTGGCTGGATCCTGGAATTACCTGGGAGCTCTCAAAAATACTCAAGTCTGGGCCCCACCCCAGAGATGCTGGTTTAACTGGTCTGGGGGCTTCTAAAGCCCCCCCCCCCAGGTGATTCTCAGATGCAGCCGAGGCCCAGAACCCCCTGGGGACGACTGTCCCACACAGCAGCTGCCTAGGGAGTCCTGCATGAGACCCAGGGGTAACCGGATCTCACTAGTCGCTTTTTATTCTGTCCTAGAAGGACATTCAAAATGTGAGGTTTCCCTAGAGTGAAACTGAGGTAATATTTTGAATTGAGTTTTTAAGGTTTTTCCAAAAAAATCACTGCTGACTCTAACACATACTGTTTTGTGATTATAAAAAAGTGTTCATTTAAAATACACAGGAAAGTATATAGAAGTAGATAAGAGGCTTTTTAAAAAAAGGTCTGTTTCAGGTAGGCATCACTATTTTGGCTGAGTAGAAGTAATTCTTAAATATCAAGAAGTGATGACAGTATGTTGAAGTCCATATCACTAGGACAAGTAACCCTTCTCTGGTGTATGCTGCTTCTTGGGGGACAACCCCTCCCTAACTCCACTTGGTCCTGGGGGTGCTCCCCACACCTACTGGGGGTAACAAGTGACCAGGTGACAGTACCTGGTGCAGAGAGGGCCACATGCCCAAGCAAGGACAAGCAGCTTTGAAACCACAAGGATGTCATTTCCTCCTGAGAATGAAGTTAGGGGGGCAGGAAGCAGAGCTCAGATGGGAAGAGCAGCAGTGAGCCCTGGCTCCAGCTCTGCCTCAGTGTCCCCCTGACTTCTGTCTGTACGTGCTGACATTTGCTGAACTGAGTTCTTTCTCAGATGTAACTGGCTAATACTCGCACATTTGAATAGGCAGTTAAAGTTTGATGGAAATTTTGTTCCTGACACAAATGTGATCAGGGTCTCCTTGGAAATGAATTTTCTTTAGGGGCTTCTCAGGATATAAGGAACCATCATAGCCGGTGTTTCTCAAAGTAGTCCTGTGAGATGCTCTGAGAAAATAAAAAGTTCCATGGACAGGTAAGTTTGCAGTGCTCCAAAAGGCAGAGTCCTCAGTGTGCATGGCCATCTATTAAAGGCTCTGAGAAGCCCTGCATTACTTTGTGTCACTCAGGACTCCCCAAACAGTATCACCTATGAAAAATCTATAGAACATACTTTGGAAAACACTATCTTAAATAGCCTAATATTATAAAATATGTTTGAATCTTTCGTATGTTGTAGTTTCTGGTTGAAACTATTACTGTTAAAAAGTTGAGTAATAATTGTATCACAAATACAAAGGTGCTTTGTGACAATATAATCTGTTCCAGAGGAACTAGAAATCTGCTATGTACTGATCATAAAACCTTGAGGAAAGGCGATTGAGTTCAAAGTGCTCGTGTGTACGTAAGGCAGTAGGTTACGTGATGGGGTCTTGTTCATTCTGTATGTGAAGACACATCTAACCCTTGGCTGGACCACACTACTGTCCTGTGGTTCATTAGGGAGGCTTCTGGATCACAGAATCCCACATATGAGACCTTATCAAGTCGTGGTTTTTGTACCTTTTTAAACAATAGGATCTTTTTGTTTAGCTCATAAGAAAGCCAGTGCGAAAAATAGATTGAACCAAGATCTGAATGGTAGGGTGGTGGGACTCACAGAAATCCAGAAAGAGCTGACTCTGACATGTATATTTTTTTCAGATTAAAAATTATTTACTAAAGGAATGACAGAGAAAACTGTGAAGCTGGAAGAAAAGATATATACATCTAACCTTTCAGTGTTTTCTTAATGTTCCCCCATTATTAGGAAAGTACCCAACATGTATTTTTTTTTTTTTGAGACAGGGTCTTGTGCTGTCATCCCAGCAACCTCAAACTCCTGGCTCAGGTGATCCTCCTGCCTCCCAAAGTGCCAAGTAACATGTAACCACATGTTTGTAAGTTAAATCCTGTTTCTCAAATATGAGCATGCTGAAATGTACATTTACAAAATCAATTTATAAAATTTACAAAAACAGTTCCTCCAAGATCTTAGTGTTACGTTTTCCCCCTCCCCTATGTCAAGTAGTTATAAACCACAAAGGTTTTTAAAGCTATAAATGTTACTTGATGTGTTGGTCTCTTATTCTCATGTTTGGGGAAGAAACCCATATTCTGGCTGCTCAGTATAAATTCAATTCTATGCTAATAGGAAATGCCATGCAAAATTAACAAAAGAGACCATCGAGGAACCAAATGGGGGGCCACTAAGTAGGCACTTTAATAAATTTAAGTCAGTCATTCACTGTAAAATGTGCTGGGATATGATGAAGGTATCTAGGTATATTCTCTAAGCTGTGACCCTGGAAAGTAGCTTAGACCTGGGCACTCAGGGTGGTGCTGGTGATGCTGCTAGTCTATGGACTACATTTTGAAAAGCAGGGCTCTGCAGCATTTGGTGCCAAGCATGGCTGTCACTCAAGAATGCTGAGATGAAATTATGGGTGCTCCTGGATCAACTAAGTCTGCCCTTGGTACTTTGATGCTGTTCTTTTCATGGACACCAATTATTAAACCAGTAAAAAACCTCTACAAACATTTGTATGTCTATAACACTTTGCCAGTCTTTTCTGGGAGGTAGCATTGGGCATATCTAACATCTGATGTAAGAACATACGTAAAAACATATAGTTCCCCATGTATCCAGAAGACATAAAAATAATGGCTTCCACATCCTTCAGATGTTTCTTTCTGGAAACTATGACATGGGGCGAGGCAACACATCTGGGAGCACAAACGCATGGGCAGAACGAACAAAACATTCCCTTACGATACCTCTATTCATGAGTACTTTGGTGAGTTGGAGACTCAGACCCATCCATAATGGGTGAGTTTTCTGTTGCTTCTCTGAATAAAAGAAAGCAGAAGGAGGAAGAGAAGAGATGTGATGTTAAAGAGAGGAACTGACACAGACATGATTAGTAGCTTATTAATACACTGGAAGGAAAGGCCCCTTGATTAGATACCCAAGTGTTTGTTAGTGGCAGATAAGTTATGCAGAACTTTCAATACCCATAACTGAATCAAAAGACCTCTTTAGTTCTGTTAGGAAGGCAGGCTTTTTACCTGGTTGTGTCTTATCACATCATAGAGAACAGTTATTATTTGCTAATGATAATTCATGTTGATCTGGCAAAACAGTTTACTTCAAGGACCAAAATATCTTTTTGTTTCACATTTGTTTACTAGCTACATGTGGTAAAACAGGCAAGTTTCAAGACCAGATTAAGTGCATAGGCCTGTTGAGGCTTGCTCATAAATTTCAGAGACAGTTTAGCCAGTGGGGGGGATAGGAGTTGACATAAGACTGTAGTTGGGACTACAGGTTTCCTTAATTCCAAAGGACCAAGAGGCAGAGTTCAATGACTGCCAAATTTTTATGTGCACCAGAATTACCCAAAGGGCTTGTTACAACGCAGCCTGCTGGGCTCCACCCCCAGAGTTTTGGATTTTGTAGGTCAGAATCTGAGAATCTGCATTTCTGACAAGAGCCCCAGCCTCACTCATGCTGCCGGTCTGAGGACCACACTGGACCACTGATGTAGTGGGAAAAGACAGGGTTTGAGGTCACAGAGAGCATGGCACTTACTTTTTCTGAGACTCATCTATAAAAGATCTGGTTATTTCCCTCGCAAGGTTGCACTGAGGATTATGCGAGCTCATGTATATTAGAAGAAGCTCCCAGCCTTTGAGTACATAGCAAGCACTCAATACATGTTAGTTCCCCTCCTCTCTGGCCAAAAACTAAGGCTCCAGAAAGCCTGGTATAAAATCACTAAACTTGCAGGAACAAAAACGTCAAGCATGAGAGCCTGAAGGCAGTCAGTCAGCAGAGCCAATTCGGATTTCTCATGAGTCAACCCACACAGCTCTCACATTGTTCCAGACATTCCCCCATCCAGCAAGCCAGAAACTGTGGATAAAACTGGGTAAGGGGACCCCTCACTCCTTTAACCAAAAGATATTGACAGAATGTAACATCCACTTAGAGGCAGTATCTCAGGAGCAACGGAAGAGGCAGGTATTATAGACTCAAGCAGGTACCTGTGTCTGCCGGACCCTTTAGTAAGTACAATGACCTAAGTGGCCGTGAAATTATGATGCTCTCTGCCTATGTTTAAAGCTATAAAAGGAGCTTTCGGTTTCATTTATTTTGCTGTGTGCAGCTTCTACTTAAAGGTTTCAAGGTACCTGATCCCCTTTTGTTTGTTGATAAAGAACAAGCGCTTGGCCAGGACCTTTTTTCTTAAGATGCATCCTGACACTAAGCCAGCAGGCACACTGAGAGGCACGTGACACATGTGGCCCAGGCCTGGCACACAGAGGTGCTTAATTACCTCTATTATTCCCCCCGACATTCTTGCCTGGCATTCTGAGTCAGCCTGGGTATAATCCAAACCCGAATCAAATGCTATCTGCCATTCTGACCAAACGAGCGCAATTCTACTTCCATCTCCCCATGTCCCAGGGACCACCGCCTACCCTAAAAAAGAGCACAGAGAATTCACCTCTGTGAAGCACAGCAAGGGAAAGGAATAGGTAGAAGGTAACAGCAATTCATGAAGAAGTTTCCCAGTAATGAACCCTCATCATTTGCTTACTGATACATATTCTAACGTCACCAGGATCTTAATGTTTACGACACTGTCTAGTAGATGCAGTCTGGAACCTAAGAACCAGGTTAAAGGCCTGGAAGGGGGAACTCACCCAGTCTGCCAGGTTAGGATGTGGTGGGGACTGCTTGGGGGGGTGGCTCCAATTTCACTTGACGGCGTTGAGCTTCTCTGGCTTTGAGGTAAGGCAGCTGTATGCAGGTGGCGCAGGAAAGGCAGGGAGAAGACAGGGATGAGACACAGGTGAAGGAGCTCAGGACTCACTGGCCTGCACCAACCCAGTGGCCAGGAGTCACCACTTCCAAGCATACTGGAGGTGATCCCATGGCAGGATCTCAGTGGGGGAACATCTCTGCACCCATCCCCATGTCTGCACCCCACCAATTACATTTTCTCCCGAAAACCATGCACCTCTATTCCAAGTCAAGCTGACCTGGCATCCTAGGTCCCTGCTTTGCCACCAGAAGTCACAGGGATGGGGCCAGCTTCTGCAACAGCAAAGACCCTGAAGCCCGACAGTCCTCTGAGGGAGCCCTGGGCAGGCCTCCTACAGGGCCTGAATTACGGTTATGAATAGGGGGCCTCCAGAACAGTCCTCACAGCTTGCTCTCCTTGCTGTTTCGGGCTTGTCATTTGCTACTTTAGTACATTTTGAAGAGGGTAGGGCTTTTAGAAGCTCATCCAAATCTGATGAGCGGGAGTTTATTGATGTGGGCAGCATACAAGTCTACTAGGAAAATCTACCAAGAAGTCAATCCTACTTAAATGCATTCTTTGCCTTCTTGGGAATGGAATCTTTTTCATCAGTAAACCTCAGAGCTGTTTAAAATTTTTAGTATAAATATGTTCCAAAAGATCTACCTAACCTCTTCACGTAAAGCAAACTCATTAGACGAGCACTACAATTTCAATAGAACATAAACAGTCCTGTGCTTTTATCAGTGACATTTACAAACTACTGGTTCTTCTAATAGGGTCACAGACGATCACCCTGTTTAAATGGTACACGTAACTTGTGTACTCTCAAAGTCTTTTTGGGACACCAATGGCAAATTTCATTTTACAGATGAAGAAGATTCTAGGACCCTGAAGTCTGTGGCACACTTACAAATGCCTAAATCGTTTTAATTCTGGTCTCTGGAGCTTGTCATTTGGCCAAAACGTGCCATAATAAATGAGTCCATGGGGATGTGGGGACACAGCCAGGTCCCCAGAGCTTATGACTTCCTTTGCTCTCCGCATATGAGGTCTAAGGGCCGCCCCCACCGCACCCTGCCGTCCCCTCTCACCTGACGTGGCCTTGCACATCTGGGGCATCCTGGTGACCCTGCTGTGCGCCACGAAGGTGCTCTGGGAGGAGGTGCTGTGCTGCGAGCCGCTGTCCGAGGAGGCGGAGCTGGTGTGCGACAGGCGGCTGTGCTCCTTGTGCGAGGCGGTGGAGCGCTGGTACCACTGGCGCAGCTCGTCCGAGACGGCGGCGCGGCCCGCGCCCTTGTCATGGGCGCCCTCGCGGCCCAGCGATGGAGTCCGCAGGATCTGCGAGCGTGACGGCGTCAGACGGCCCGCGTCGCCCTCGTCGCTGCCGCCACCGCGCCAGCTCTCCTTGAACAGGCCTCCGGCCGTGTAGGAATTGGAGGTCTTGAACTGCGCCTTGACGCTGTAGTGGCCCTCCTGGTCGCTCTCCAGGCTGCGCACCACCACCGGCGTGGCGCTGCCCTCGATGTACAGCGGGTACTCCTTGATGCGGTACTGCGAGCTGGGCTGGCTCTGGCTGTGCAGGTACACGCCGCCGCCCGCGCCCCCCGCGCCGCCGCGCGCCGCCAGGTTGGGCATGCTGCCCGAGCTGCCCGCGCCCAGCGCGCCCGCCGCCCGCGCCCGCTGCCGCTGCCGCGCCTTGGACGGCGAGTCCTCGGCCAGCGTCGAGTAGTTGGCGTTCATCTGCGCCGGGTAGTAGTGCTCCGAGCTCGAGTGGCTGGTGCACGACGAGCAGTCGTCCATGGGGTCCGAGCCGTTGCTGCTACGAGTCCGCGGGGTGTAGAAGTCGGGGCTCCCGGTGTCATTCTCCGAGCCCAGGAGCTTGCCCTGGGACTCCAGGCTGGAGCTCCGGTGCCTAAAGTGCAGTGCGAGGCTGTGCAGTCGCGTGGGGCTGATGTCCACCGACCTGCGGGGAGATGGCCTGGGTTGGTCTGGGGGGGACCCAAGACGGGCGCACTGGGGACCCCCCCATGCGTTGCACATAAGGAAGAGGAAAACCCACGTGGGCTCATAGCCGCCAGGGTATGGAGGGGTTCCAGGGGCATCTGCAGACCCAGAGTCTAAGCAGGGTTGGTCACTGGTGGTCCCTGGAGGTGAACCAGGGGCCTCGCTTTGATTCCTGGTGGGAAGTGAGTCCAGGACTCACATAAGGGTGTCCTCTGGGAATAGGACGCCAATAGCTGGGGCTTTCTTTTGCCCCGCCTTTAAGGTGGAAAATGATTTTATAGATACAAAGATAACCCCATAATCACTATTCTGGTGTTATACGTTAAAAAATACCCATTTTTGTAGATCAAACCCATTTTTGTAGTCCAACAGAGGCCCTTCATACGGTTTAACCAAATACTGTTAAGAAATCCACATAAATAGATTCCCATTTCCTGTGCAAACTTGAAAATGGAAGGTTGGTGGAACATTTGAAAAAATGAAAGATGCAAATATTTGCCATGCTGGTTACTCTGTCTATAACCCATTCTGCTTATAGTGTCCACACTATCAGTATTCATCAATAGCACATGGCAGACAATGCTGCCAGATGCTGGGACTTTGTGTGAAGTTCACGGCGCCCCGTTGGCCAAGTACAGGAAGACCTGAGTCCCGGTCTTGACTGTCACTCAGGGTGGAATTGGAAGCCCCCACCACGTGGCCCTCCATGGTCTGGTTTTGCTTTTTTTTTTTTTTTTTTTTTAAGAAAATAAAGGTGTGATTCACCAAAGCCTAATTTTTGCCTATTTCTTTTAGCTAATTATGAGTTTACACCTTGAGGCATTAAAGGAATTCCAATGTAAATTTAGGTCTCAGTAGAAAGTTATAAGAAGACTATCAAATAGAGATTATGCCATCAGGGCAAGGTGGTTCTGGTCCCAGCTCTTCCCGTGCTAACCCGGCCAGCCTCTCCTGTCTGCATTTTGATCAGGAAAGCTCTTTCCATTGCTGACTGTCCCCAGGAGCCTGAGGCATCTCGACTGACGCCAAGTGCCCCCTGGATGTGGACAGTGTGCTATAATGGGTCTCTTCGCTAACGGGGGCTGACCTCTGCCAGCTCAGTTTTTTAAATTCAGCTTCATTTATCCTCACAGGTTCAGGTCTGTCTCTAGCTCACCCATCATTTGGGCCAGTTTGGGGCCAGCAATGCCTCATTTTAAAAAGGAAGGCCTGGTCTGAGGAGGGAGGTGGCCCGAAAGCCTGGCGGACTCACCTTGTGGAATGGACATAGTGGGGACTCCGGACCCGGAGGTCCGGTGTGGACGGCATGCTGGACTGGGAGTTCCAGTGGGGGAGGCCACGGATGGGGCTGTTCTGCAAGGAGCTGCTTCCTCCTCCTGCTTCGGCACAGCTTCCCGTGCTGGGGAAGCGCTTGTGGCTGCTGCAAACCCAAGGAAGCCATGTTGTCACTGCCAGACAGATGGCACCTCCAGGGGGCTGGCGAGCTTGGGACACAGATCTGGGTGAGGACTCCCACCTCACTCCCTCAGATCTCTACCGTGGTCCTCAGCCTCTCCCCCAGCAGTGTGTGGGGGTCCTGGTCCCTGACACCCCCCAGATAATAGGAGCTGAAGACCCTCGTCAGCCTTCTCTGTAACAGGCGCAGTGTGACTGTCCTGTAAATGCCCTGCCCTCACAGTTTTTGTTTTCCAAGAGACAAAATAGTTACCTGTCAGCTCACCCACTTAGAGCTTTATAGGGTGTAATTAAAGGAAATGAGAAAAACAGAATTGGACCAAAAATTCCTTCCCAAAAAGAAAAACCTCTCTACAATGTCAGCCCAGTGACGAGCTGATGAGGCGTAGCTCTGGTTACAGCTGTTTGGCTCCAGAATTCTGCTGGATGATGGCTTAGGGTTCTGAACCACTCTGGGACTCCTGTGAGTGGACTCGCGCTTGCCATTTCGGAATAGCACTGCTTGAGATTTCCTAATTAATTCCTGTGGAATTTAACAGCATTAAAGCCATCTGCCATCACCTTGATGGTGAGCCAAACTCCAGTTCCCCCCAGAAAGACCAATCTGCACCTCAGCAGCGTCAGCAGCAGGGGGCGCTGTGGGCACAGCCCTGGGGAAGGCAAACCCCAGCAGAGGAACCCGGTGGCTGTGGATTTTGTGTCTGCCCTTAGATTCTTCCAGAGCGCGGACAGTGACCTCACCTGGCCTCATTCACAACCCGACTCACCTGGAATGGCTGTGGGAGGAGCGTTTCTTGACCTTCTCATAGGGCTCATCCAAGGAGGACTCACTCCACATCTTGGGCTTTATGGGGGACTTGTCATAGTCGCTGCGGTGATAGTGCATCTGCCTGAGTCCCTCCAGGGACTGGGGAGGAGGGGGCCTGTTGTGCGACGGTGGCCGAGGAGGGAGTCCCTTGTGAGGCGAGTGTAAGGGGGATATTGTGCTGGTAACCTGAGAGTCTTCTGCACAAAGACAGAAAGAGAAGGACTGAGCATGGGTCATCCTTTCCACGAGACCAGGACAGCGCCCCCACCCACCTGCACCCCACATCGGCACCTCGGGGCCACACAGCCAAATCCACACCTTTCCTTCGCCCATGTAATAAAGAGCCCCGGGACTCTTCCCCAGTTGCCAAGACCAGTCAAGACCAGTCAAGCCAAACCTGAGCAAACCAAACCCCAACTGCACGCAGGATTGCATGGAAGAGACCTCCTGTCACTTCTGATTAGACACGGATGGAGCGAAGTCTGAATTTTACGAAATACCATCAGCAAATGATTGCTTCACCCCAAACAGCAAAACGTAGTTATTACCATGCTGTAAGTTTTCTTTCAATAGACACCAGGAGTCTGTTTTGCTTTGGGGCATTCTAAGCCTCATAGACTTTTGTCTGTTTTGTTCACTACTATATTCTCAGTGCCATGAATGGCAGCTGACACACAGTAGGTGCTCAGTAAGCACTGCCTGGGAAAACGAATGAAAGCGTATCTGTCCAGTGTAAATATCTGCTGGCTGGATCTGAGTTTCTACTCTGCTTTTTTCCCAGAGCTATCTGTATTCTCTTAGGTTCCTGTATATTTCAATTTTGGAACTGCCTTAAATTCTTTGGGAAGGAGATGGGCTAGGAAGATTAAGTATTACAGAATTATTCTCTGCCTTCAGGGGAGGATGATCTAACCCATCAGGGTGCTACAGGACTTTTGGAGACTGTGACTTCAGTGAGTCTAGGAGGGCTGTGGGAGGGGCTGGTCTTAAAGGGGACTGAGTAGTGGATGGGCAGAGAGGAGGAGGAGGAAGGAGAGAATTTGAGCCAGAGTGTGGAAGGAGGAGCTCCGGTCAGCGTAGCAGACCTTCTGTGTGCACTGTGATGAGAGGAGCTGGGATGTGGTCTTCGAGCCCCAGGAAGACTTTGCAACTTCTTAAGCACGGATGCATCAGGGTGAAAAAGTCCTGTTTGAGAACTATTCACCCGGCAGCATTCAAAAAGGAGAAAGGCAGGGAGAGGGATGGTGAGGGGTGGGGTGTGGCCTGTGAAGATGTAGGGTAGGTCAGCACTTAGAAGACAGAGGAGGGAACATTTCAGCCTTCCTGGGGAAGGCAGAGGTGGGAGCTGGAGAGGAAAAATACGCAAAAAGCAAAGCCCAACTGCCTTTCACTTGTCCCTAAATCTATTCCTAGTTGTTATGCCTTTCTCAGCCTAATTCTCAACCCCCAGCCGGGGACACCCACTATGCTTCCGTTCCTCCTTTGCCCTCTCAAATCAGTCAAGGAGGAGTCTGGGAGAAGGGACCTGTGATGGAAGTGTGGGGTGCAATGGGAGGTAATAAGGCCCCCTGGGAAGTCCAGGGGTCTGGAACATGGGGAAGAAACTGGAATCACCAGTGATGTCTCTGAATTAGCTAACGACATCATCTATTGCTCTGGCAGCTTCTCTATGACAAAGGAATCTCACTAGATTGTTCTTGTTCCCTCCCCAGGAGAGACTGGGGTACACATAGGCCAACAACAGGGCTGGGATCTCTGATATTCAAAGCAACCCCCCCTGCTTGTCTGTGGCTCCAGGGCCGCCCCACCCAGGGCATGAAGCAGATAATAAAAATATTACAATCTGATTTCTAACAGCAGGGCCAAGACAACTCTGTAAATCACCCGCCAGGCTTCCCCCACATCGAGACCAATCATCATTATTATTGCAATTATGATTATTACCATAACTAGGGTAGACCTTTTATGTTTTCCATCTGAATAGGCACTTATCATTGCCCGCCTGAGGTTTCTCTACGGGGCAAAAAAATTAACTGCCACTTAATATATTTCCATGTAATTAATGCCCTCGCCTCCCAGTGTTTTGGTTTAACATCGCAGGAACATTCTCAGAGATGGTTCTGTGTTTGGAATTCTTGCTTCCCCCATGTATGGTGGTGGTGGCAGCGGCGGGGAATCAGTTCTGCTTTTCTAAGAATTTCCCCAGAAAATATCCTGGTAACTTCCAGGTTTTAAGAATCCAGTGTATGCTATGCAATACCACTCAGCAATTTAAAAAAGATGAATTAATACCTTTTGCAACAATCTGGATGGAACTGGAGACCTTTCTCCTAAGCGAAGTCCCTCAAGAATGGAAAAACAAACACCACGTGTACTCGCTATTAAACTGGAACTAACCGATGAGCACACACATGCACAGAGGGAAGTAAATCTCAGAGGAAATCAAGCAGGGAGGAGGAGGGAAGGAGGGGATGGGCAAAAACCTACCTAACAGGTATAATGAACACGATCTGGGTGATGGGCACACTTATAACCCTGACGACACATGTAACCAAAAACATTTGTATCCCTGTAATGTTTTGAAATAAAAAAAAAGTAATCCATCTGCAGTAGTAATAAAGTGTGGCATGAAGTTACATTTGAAAATGGAAGTGGGCTATAAAATTAAAACTACAGAGTCACGCTTGCAAATGGTAATTGTTATAAGGCAACTCATGATCAGTAGGTTCTAGTGGAAAGACAGTTGCCTGCCCTCAAAGTCAAAAGACATGACGTGAAGACATGATAACCACAAACATTTGGAATATGACACCACAAAAGGAAGACTCAGGGAGACTCCGTAGTTTAAAGCTGTGGTCCCCAACCCTGTTAGGAACCAGGCCGCACAGCAGGAGGTGAGCAGTGGGGTGAGTGAGCGAAGCTTCATCTGTACTTACAGCCGCTCCCCATCGCTTAGCCATCCTCCCCACCCCCGTCCATGGAAAAATTGTCTTCCATGAAACAGATCCCTGGTGCCAACAAGTTGGGGACCACCTGCAAAGGCAAGTATTTAAGTCATCCTGAGATTAGTTCGGATGTGTCACCTCCACAGGCAGATGGATGAGTAGTAGACGTTTGCTGTTACTTTGTTGCCTACCATCTAAGCTTCCTTCTGCTAACCGCTCCCTGATTTTGCTTTCTTCTGTTTTGTTTGGTGTTAACATCTTTGCTCTGGATATGATACTGGCCATTCAGAGCATTCAATCCCATGGTCGTGCTGATAAATTCTAAGACAAACCAGTGATCCTGGCAGCACCGATGATCTATACCAATGACCTCGAGTACTTTTGCTTGAGCTGATGGGAAAGGAGTATATTCTCTTTTCCTGCTAGAACTGGAGCTGTGAAACAAGGCTCGACATGTTGGAGGCCCCCACGAATGAGAACTTGCCAAAGGGCAAGCTGGCACTAAGAAAAGTAGCGTGAGGGGACATGGCCCAATGACTTCTTTTTAATCCCTGAATCAAGGTGCATCTGTTGCTGTCCCTTGAATTTGCATGTTACATAAGCCCATAAATTCCCACCTTTATTTAAAAAGAAAAAGAATCCAATGGGAAATAAGAAGACAATTTTCAAGGCCTGAGCAGGTGTCTAAAGGGACCTGTCCCCTTTCATTGTCACTATTGTCTCAGGAAGGTAGCGAGGGTTTGTTCTGTCCCTTCCTACTACACCCGGGCTCTCCTCGTGGGTTTTAAACTTTGATTTGTGATCAAATCAATCTCTACCCCTTTCTTCCAGTTATTCTGAATACTCGGAAGGAAACTATACACAGTGTTTAGAATTCTCCATCTAGTTAAAAAATGTGGTTTTGGCTATTAAAAAAGTGAAGCACCACTCGCTGGAAATCACCTTGAATCTTACCTCTGGGCCAGAGGAAATACTGAAATTCCCATAAACGTGTTTCTGTAGCACCCACCCACTCCCAAATGGGCGGACACTGGGAAGTGAGGGGGCTTGTGGGGAATCCGCCTGCCTCCTGCACCTGCTGGCCCCAGACCATATACAGAGTCAGCACTGTTTCGTCTGAGCTTCAGGCTTTTGAGCCAGAAGTGGGTAACCTACCATCCTCAAGAACAAGTGCATCTGAGAGGGAGCTGTCTTCACTGGCGATATTTCCATCTGAGAAGACAAGAAGCAAAAGTCTGTGAGTTTATTAGCACATTCCTTCAACAAAGCCCTGTCTGTAAAAATAGGGTGCTCACCACTCCCTCCTGTCCTCCTCTTTCTAATCAGAAAGAACCCATGAGATACAATAAAAATGCTGTCCGGCATTTCTTTTGACAGCCCCTGGGCTGGGCCATGAGCTCATCCTCCCCGCCCGACTTCACAGCGTGCCTCGGTTTTTGTGTTTTTGTGCTCTTGTTCCGTGGGATCCCGCAATGCAGAGTGGCTTAATATCCAATATAAAGGCTGCCCCGGCTTGGTTAAGCTGCATCATTGTCCCAGCACAAATTCGGGGCATGTACTGACGAAACCAAAGGAAGTAAACTGCTATTTATTCTACAGACGCGAAACCAGAGTAGGGAACTTTGCTTTGCTCATACAGCAGTAAGTGGCTTCTCAATAAACTTCATAAGCCATTAGTAGAGAAAACAAGTGTGCTAAATACAGACTCCGTCTCTCCGAAGCTTATTTTTATAGATACCATTCAATTAACCAGAACACACCCAAGAGGGAGACATTAAATAATCCTCCCGGTTTCACTGCTGGGGAAACCGAGGCGCAGCTAGGGAAGATGTATACACACATTGAGGGAAGAGTGGTTTGGGCGAGGTTGCTCTGCTCTCCCGGCAAAGTGTACGAAGGTCCCAAGTCCTCAGACTCCCCGTTTAGTGTTTTATCTCTTTAAATAAAATAACATGCTAAGGAACTAGCAAGAACCTTAATCACTCCTCTAGTTCAAGTGGGCCCTTGGATGTTTCTGCAGAGTTGGGAATGCCCAAGTGCCTTTGAGGTGGGGCAGGCAGAGGTCTCGAACAGGGGGTAAGAGAAGGGCTGGCTGGCGGGCTCCGTTAGGAAGTGGGGGAAAAGTTGCATGGTCTTGGCCAAGGATAACAGGGTGAAACAGGGAAAGATGGTTATTCCAAATTTCCTAGAGCAAAAGAATTTTTAAAATTCTCTCTAACTAGGAATTCACTCTATTCCTATTGCTTGATGAACTGAGAACCGTGACTTTGGCATGGTGGAACCTCCAGCACGTTGTTGCTTCCCTAGTATGTCAACACGTTTAGGTTGCAGATATACATATACATATCATTGCGGTAAAACAGACATGACATCAGCTTTACCATTTTAACCATTTTAAAGTGTGCAGTTCTGTTGCATTAAGAACGTTCACAATGTTACGCAACCATCACCGCCATCCACCTTCGTTTTGGATAACGTTTCCATTTTGCCAGATGGAAGCCCTGGACCCATTAAGCAATCACTCCTCATGCCCCGCTCCCCCCAGCTCCTGGTAACCACTATTCTACTTCCTGTTTTCCTAGAGCAAAAGTATTTGAGACATGCATACCCTAGGAAAGAATACTTGACATATATTTTTTCAAGAATTCGCTGACTTAGAGAAAAAGGATTCTAACAGTTTGGGGGGATTGGATGTTTGTTCGTGGATTTTGGGGTATTTCCCTCTAAAGTTTACCAGATGTAGGAGTTCAGCCAAACTCCTAACTTCTGACCAGAGCTCGGGGTTCTGGACAGTGACACAGGGATGGTCCAGTCCTCCTGAGCCTCGGCTCTTGGGACAGGAGGCCCCTGGAAACAGAGTCAGACTGCGGGTTGTTGGGGAGCTGCCGGCCTGCAGGGCCTGCTCGAGGAGGGGGGTTGGTCACTGCTGCTGTGTACCCCAGCCAACCTCCCCTCTCCTCCCAGACTTAGGTAGGGGCAGTCATGTCCCTGAGAAGGTCAGAGTCTGGGCCAGCTCAGTTGCCTCGGCTCAGCTCTCAGTAAAGGCTGAGGAGAGAGTCAGCTCATCACTGTGGCCTCCCTAGGGAGGCTGTCCCCAGGGAGAAGGCCGGTTCCATTTGTGCGATCCCTTTCATCTGGGCATCTGAGTGTACACGGTTGCTCTCATGTGGTAACAGATGACAAATTAAGGCACAGAGCGGTTAAGTAGCCGCTCGGCTCGTGCAGGGAGCTGGGCTCTCGGACCACGCGGGGGACCTGGCGTCTGGTTCCCTGAGGCCCAGGGGTGGCAGTGGGGTGTGGGCCGCCGGCATGGCACTGACCGTCTATGATCAGCGAGGCCCTCTGGGTGGGTTTCTTCCCAGACTTGATGCGGTTCTCGTTGATTGCATTTTCAATCTCCTGCAGCTTCTTCAGTGCATTCAGGTAAGAGGTTTTCCTTTGTTTCTTCAGTTTTTTGCTGACGTTGGGGTCGCTGGCCAGGCGGCGGGCGGCCTCGGTAATCTGGGACTGGATGGCAAACTCCCGTTCCAGGCGCTCCAGCTCGGCTTCCTGTGGGGGGGACAGCCACAGCTGATGTCACTGGGGATGCTGAGCAGGGGACACCCATCCTCCCCGCCCCATGCCCCCTGCCCAAGGCGATCCTGGCCCTTTGGGAGACACGTGTACCAGGAAGCCAGCAGTCCCAGTGCCTGACCCCAACCCTGCCGTGCTAAGAGAGTGGCCCCACTCCTGAAATCTCTGCCCGCTGCGGGTCCTGGACACAGCCGCTGTCAGGACTCTCGGCACCTGTTACTTTTGGAGACAAGTGTTGGTCTGTACACTGGCGCCATCACTGAGAAGCAGTTCTCACGCCCCAGGTTTTGGGGTCACTTGGCTTTGTTTCTCCTATCCCCGGCAAGGTTCATCAAGACAAACCAAAGCCACCTTGGACCTTCAGAGCCCCTTTGGTTGTCATTTTCTTTCCATTTCAGGCCTAGGACAGGGCACTATTTTTAGAGTCGTCTTTCTGTCATTCCGCTCTGTGGGTTTGCTGACAGGGAGCCCACACACGTACATGTAACCCACACGTCCTCTGACTCACGTATGTTGTGCCTCTCATGTTGGGACACGTCCCCACTCACCCGTGTCTTTCAGAAGCTCTTTTTGCAAGCTCCAGCTGCGCTTCTAACACCTGCCTGTCCACGGACGCCCTGCTCGGGCTCCGCCTGGGCCCCCCACAAGCACGGATGGTGGGGGTCGTGGAGCCAGTTCCCTAGCTCCCTAGCTGAGTGTCCCCTCCTTCTCGCGTGGGGCCCCCCCCCCCCGCCTCGACCCCTCCCTTTGGCCAGGACGTGCAGATGAACAAGTTTCTCCTCAAGAGTCTGGGGCCTGGGGAGAGTGAAGCTGTGGCTGTCAGAAAATGCCTGGGGGACCAGAGGGTGACACCCCAGAGAGCATGTCTGCTCTCTGCTGACCACACGCTTCTCTGCAGATGGCGTGTGCACCAGCTCGAGCATGTGTGTGTGAGGCTATGCGAGGTGGGGGTGTGTGAATGCAGAATCCCCCCCAAAGTATCGGCTTGTCTGTTTTTCTATTTCCTCTCCTCCCTGACGAGACCCCTCCAGTCAAAGCTAGCTGTGAACAGCAGCCTTTAAGGTTAAGATCTGGAGCAGAGGGCTGCATGCTGGCTTCTAGTGCATGGCCCAGCAGGCCGGGGATCTCCTGGGAGCTTGGGGGAGAAGCAGAATCTCTGTCTAACCCCATATCTAACAACCCCAAGACAAATGCATCAGCAGTTTCTCCAAATGCCAGCGAGCAAGGCCAAGAGACCTCAGATCTTGCCCAAGGAGATTCACAGTCACACTAAAATTTGGCAGGAGCTGCCCTAACCATGCAGGAGGAGGTGCCCACGTCTGCTGGAATCAGCAGATCTTCCCGGCTAGTGGCCCAGTGGGCACACGTTCTTAGCCTGATTTCATTTACTTATGAGCACTTTAAGTCTGAAGGGAGCAGGGACCAAAAGGAGGAAAAAGTGAAGGTTAATCAGAACTACTTAGGAGATAATAAACTCCTTCCGAGTCCTTCGGACGCTGGCCGCGTTTGTTCTCCCGGAGGGAAGAGAATGTCGAAATGGACTCGAGGCCGGTGTCTTGAAACAGGCAAGTCACCCAGGGACGAAGGCTGTTGTGAGAGTCTGGGCTCCACTGGGCAGCTGCTTGTGGGCTGTTACCATAGCCCTGACCCCAGACACTGACTCAGAGTCTTGCGGGGAGCCCAGGACGAATTCTCGCTGCTTAATCTAAGACAAGTGCAAGGCTGAACGCCCCGTGTGTGCACAGGCTGCCTGCTGGGAGAGCAGGAAGCGGGGCGCATCTCCAGGGGCAGCAACAGCGCCCGGGCCGGTCTCTTCCTTCCCAGAGGGACTCTGCGGAACGCCCGCTGCTGCTGCCGGGTTCCTTTTTCCAAACTTAGGAGAGATGACACGTAGGGATAGGCGAGGAAACACGGACGCACGTGGAATTCCCAGGGAACTAAAGTCACCCTTTACTGAGGAGCGTCAAAGGTGCAGTGGGACTCTGGGAAGACCAGTGGGGCCTGGGGGGCACTCACTAAAAGTGGGGTTGCTTTTTAAAGTGCAAATGCCAGGTGTCTGCCCAGCAAGGGAAGCTGAAGTTCCTGCTGATCGGCTGCATTTGAAAAATACCCGGCCATGTAGATTTCTCAGTCCTGCCCTCCCTCACCCCCACCCACAGCCGCTGCACCCCTCCTCGGCTCTGCAGGCAACTAATGTCTGGCGAGCATCGAGGAGGTGCTAAGTCCCGCGTCCTGTATTTTACGTATACTAGCTCATTTAACCCTAGTGACAACCCAGAGAAGTTAGGGCTATGAGCTTCCTTTTACAGAAGCCCAAAAGTGCCTGATCGAGCTTTAATTTTGGATGAAGCACATTGGTGTGTCCACCAGCGTTCCAGGGACCGGTGACTGCAGATCTCAGATCTGTCTAAAGCTTACACTGGCCCAGGGCACCTGGGTCCCCCTCTGAATTCACCCACACACTAACCCTACCAACCCTACTGCGGGTGTTCCGTGAGAACGTCAGTTTCTCCTGATCTTTCTCTTAAAAGACTAAAATACACGGTATTCCCTTTTCTGTTGGCTTTGAGTCCTGACCGTTAAGCCCTCCGTTCATGCCCATGTTAATTAGTAACTATATTCAGAATGAATCTGGGAAGACACTTCCTGGACGTGACCCTGAGGCCTGCAGCTATTACCTGGCCTTTACCATCTCTTGGTCTGAGACTGGACACTTATTAACCAGCCAGGCACTCAGTTTTTATTGTCCCTCTCCCTCCAAATGTGAACTCTCCAGCCCCGACCCCACCGGTGTTCAGTCCAAAGAGGATGAAGGCGGCTCCTCCAAATAGACGGGCGAGGCCAGGACGGCCAAGGTGTCTTGCTCATATTCTCGTGGGGTTTTGAGCAGCTGCTGAAGTCCAGACCATGCAGGGCAGGCCCTACTCATCCTTCCCCAGCCAGGGGGACCCTTGCACCTACAGCCAGGGCCTAAGTTTTCCTTCCTCTTGGGCTGTTTTGTTGCACAGACCAGGCATTAGGCTTGGCCATGAATAACCCAGGGCTGGGAGGCCGTTAAAAAGACAAATATTCATGAGTGCCATTGGAATGTTCTCCCCAAGCTCTGCTCAGCCGCCTGCGTGAGGCCCACAGTGTTAGACAAGCGACTTCAACAGGAACTCGAATGCCTGCTAATACAAGCAAACTAATCCTACCAAGGGGAACCACGTACCGACCAGCCGGCCCACTTAAGAAAAGGTGGAAGTTAAAATAGTGGCATTAGGCAGAAATGAAGACATTGTTACAGAAAGCCCAGAAGCCCTAACAAGTGGGAAACCTGTGGATAACATGAGAGAACCCAACAGCAGAAAGGAAGGACGCACCTCTCCTTTGGGCATGATTTTCTGCTCATCCAGCTTGAAGGCCGTGCCTATTCTTCTCCGAACAATGGGTGGTTCCTCCCCTGGATCCAGGGGATATTCGACAGGCAGTTTGCCCGTGAGCTCCTGCGTCCGTGAAAGAGCATTCGGAGTGCAAATCAGAGTGGGGCACACGCTTCCTCGAGTGCACACACGCTTGTACACACGCGCGCACACACACACACACATACTCTCTCCAATGTGCAGACTCAATGCCTAGGTCAGAAACATGGGGCACTAACCCTAAATAAGGGTTCATGGAGTGAAATTTCATTTCTCTAAAAATGTTTGGGAGTAGTCCTTTCTTTAGAGGGTAGATGTACTTCCTAACATAAACATCTGTCAATAAAATTGCCATTGGCTTTCATCATAAAACCTAAATTTCACTCACTCGTTTGTTAATCTAACAAGCGTCCTTCCCGCGTGCCTGCTCTGTGCCGGGGGAGGCCACCCCACCAGTGAGGAGCACAGCCAACACGAATTCTCGTGTCTCTCCGGCTCCAAATCCTGTGCCCTGCCCCCAGCATCGAATATTCCCCTCCAATATCTAGGTTTACGTTTTCTCTCAAATGAGTTTCCTAAGAGTTTCAAATTCAAGGAAAAGTGCATTCATACACAATTTAGAAACTGAACATGGGTAGTAATTTCTGCCCCCCCCGGCCAGTCGCTACAGGAACAGGCTGCAATGAAAAGACACTGAACTATATACAAATATGAGTTTTAGTGGACAACTGAAAATATAATCTGTATTGTTGACAAGGCTACTAAAAAAATCTGTTGTGTATTTGGGGCTCAAGAAATCTAATTATTGTGGGTACAAGAACAGTGAATTTAGATCCCAGGCAAAAGCTGGCCCATTGTTCTCTGAAATGCTTACATTAGGGAATGACAAGTCCACAGGGTCGTTTCCCAGTGATCTGAACACAGAAGGGAAGAGGCCCGGGAGAGCGGGGAGGGGTGCGTCTGTGTGCTCACGGTCTGCGTGCGCACACACACGAGCACACACACACCCGTGCACTCAGTACACGGCAGTGGCGTAGGAGGGATCAGAGTTATGCTCCCATAATTTGGGTTTTCCCAATTATGGCTCTGGGGAAAGATTTGGGATTAGAATTAGACTCTCTACGAATACATTATATCTCGGATGAATAAAGATCAGGTTTGAGGTAGCAGCTAATAGTCATCGTGAAGGCCAGGCAGCAACTGCGAAAAGTCACTTCCAGAGACCAGAGAAGTCTGGGGGACCCGCTGTGTGTCTCCAGTGGCAGCGTGGGCATTTCCACGCAAAGCCCTGCTCTGGCTTCCTAGGCCCCAGATCGACGCAGTTGCTGCACAGAGACTCGAGGGTCACTCTGACAAGGAAGAGGTCAGAAGCCTCTTCCTGGGAACATCCATCAGCCACACAGAGAGCTTCTGTCCCTGGGATAGCCCAGTCCTGAGTGTCCGGCAGGCGGGAGAACCCAAATTATGGGAGAGTGACTCTGATGCCTCCTCTCCACTGTCGTGTGCTGAGTGCACGGGTGTGCGTGTGTCTTGTGTGCGTGTGCGCGTGCGTGCACACAGACTGTGAGCGTGCACACACACCCCTCCCTGCTCTCCCGGGCCTCTTCCCTTCTGGGTTCAGATCACTGGGAAATGACCTTGTCGACTTTTTATTCCCTAATGTAAGCATTTCAGAGCACAATGGCCAACTATCTGAGTATGCAATGCTCTGCGATTATCTTCCTTGGCTTTTTCCTTTCTTTTTAAAAAATGTGATTCAAATGTCTCCGAAGTAGTTATGTGTTTATGCGGCAACTTTTTTTTTTATCTGCTTCCCTAAACGTCTGTGTATTTATTTAACACAACCTATTGCGGGTTTTATATGGTCAGGACTTTATTATTATTATTTTTTTACCTAGAGACTTATAAAAAGGAGGGAAAAGTTCTTAAAATTCTCATAGATTTATTAGTCTCAAGTGTCTGTGGTTTTAAAATATATTTTAAAAATGAGGGGACTGATTTTTCCCCATCTGCATGAAGGTATTTGAGTCGAGGTCTTGATTCTCCACGTATTTAATCTGATTTCATATGTTGTAACTGGAGCTGCATGGCGAGGAAGTAATTTAACACCGTGTGGTTGGGGCGCTCAGTTTGGTTCTTCTATATTCTGCCAAACACCCTCACTCTACCTTGTTCTAGCGGCTGCCTCTCCCGCAAACAGCTTTTTGATATGAGCTGAGCGGAGAAATGCGTGTGAACAGCGTACAGCTGGCAAGAGGACTCCCCCCACGGGAGGGGAGTTGAGAGTAGGGCAGGAATAACATTGAACAAGCACAGGGAAGTCACCCTGCATGAGACTTCTTGCTGGCCTATTTCTTCAAGTTGTGTTTTCTGCTGTCAACATTATAAGAAGTGGGAGCTTTGTTTTCCTTATTTGCTTTTATTTTTCAGAGAGACGGTGAGACTTTTAGAATGCATGCTAATCTTGCCCTGACATGTTTCTTACATTTCCTAATGTGGATTCCCTGCCGGGTTCAGGGACATTTCCTTTATTAAAAACAAAACAAGGGTTTGCAAATTATTAAAGGCAGACACCAAAACCTGTATTTCCCCAATCTTTCCAGCATACTCTTTATAAAAACGTTGCTAATATTAGCAGTATCACATAGCGCATTCCCCAGCTAGGCCAATGGGCTTTCCTAAGAGTTCCAGTGGATTTGTGCTAATGTGGTTCTGCTTGGAGCAGGCTCCGGTTTAAATCAATCCAGACCATAATTAATCCAAGTTGAAATGTAATGTGATCTCACTCTACAGGCCCTTGTTTCATTCTTCCTGCTGCAAGGCATTATGTGGGGGAGGGGAATACATCCCTTCCACTTGGTTTGGGAACTGCTTCATACCGCCCATTGTGACCTGTTTACCAACAGAGATCTTTGCAATGTTACACGGAGCACGATCTCTCTGGGAGAGCGCCCCTCCGTGATGCCCACTGCAAGTACATACACACACGCACACACACACACACAGACACACTGAATAATGCATGCCACATTCAGAAAATGAAGTCTCCTAACATTGCTACCAAAGAGTCACGGAATAAACAGAAGAAGGTAGAAATGGACATTGAAATAAATATAAACAACAGCCTGCAGCAGCCTCTATGAGACTAGCATAGACACAGCCTCAAGGAAGCATTCCTTTGCATAAAATTTAAAAACATCACTGGGCTAAGAGTTTATTTTAAATAACAGAAGACTGAAAGAAACACCAGATCGAGAGGTTTAAAGGGGATCGTACATCCATTGAAATCCTGGACCGCCA